TCTGCTCACTGCAAGCTAGGTTCAAGCAATTCTCGTGTCTCAGCCCTCTGAGTAGCCGGGATTACAGGCGCATGCCACCATGCATGGCTAAGTTTTGTATTTTTAGTACAGACGGTTTCATCATGTTGGCCAGGCTGGCCTCAAACTCCTGACCTCAAGTGATCCACCTGCCTCGGCCTCCCAAAGTGCTGGGATTACAGGCGTGAGTCGCGGCACCAGCTAATCTCATTCTTTTCTATGGCGGAATAATTCTCCGTTGTTTGTATGTACGGCATTTCCTTTATCCATTCATCTGTTGACAGACACTTAGGTTAATTCCATATCTTGGCTGTTATGAGTAGTGCTGCAGTAAACATGGGAAAGCAGATGTCTCTTGGATATACTGACTTCCTTTTTTTCAAATATGTGTATCCAGTGCTGGGATTGCTGGATCCACAGTAGTCCTAGTTTTGGTTTTCTCAGAAACCTTCATATTATTGTTGATAGTGATTGTACTGATTTACAATCCCACCAACAGTGTAGGGGGGTTCCCTTTTCTCCATATGCTCACCAGCATTCTTTATTGGCTTTCTATAGGATAAAAGCCATTTTAACTTGGGTGAGACGATACTTTCTTGTAGTTTTGATTTGCATTTCTCTGCTGATTAGTGATATTGAGCATTTTTTGGATACACTTGCTGGCCATGTGTCTGTCTTCTTTGAGAAATGTCTATTAGATCTTTTGCCCAGTTTTTTTTTTTTTTTTTTTTTTTTTTGAGATGGAGTCTCACTCTGTTGCCCAGGCTGGCGTACAATGATGTGATCTCAGCTCACCACAACCTCCACCTCCCAGATTCAAGCAATTCTCCTGCCTTAGCCTCTCGAGTAGCTGGGATTACAGGCATATGCCACCACGCCTGGCTAATTTTTGTATTTTTAGTAGAGACAGGAGTTTCTCCATGTTGGTCAGGCTGGTCTTGAACCCCTGACCTCGTGATCCACCCACCTCAGCCTCCCAAAGTGCTGGGATTATAGGTGTGAGTCACTGCACCCGGCCTCTTTTGCCCATTTTTAAATCAGATTAAGCTGGGTGTGGTGGCTCATGCCTGTAATCCCAGCACTTTGGGAGGTCGAGGCAGGCAGATCACTTGAGGTCAGGAGTTCAAGACCAACCTGTCCAACATGATGAAACCCTGTCTCTACTAAAAGCACAAAAATTAGCTGGTTGTGGTGGTGCATGCCTGTTATCCCAGCTACTTGAGACAGGAGAATTGCCTGAACCCAGGAGGTGGAGGTTGCAGTGAGCCAAGATCGTGCCACTGTATTTTAGCCTGGGTGACAGAGCAAGACCCCATGTCAAACACACACACACACACACACACACACACACACACACACACACACAGAGTCAGATTATTTGATTTTTTTTTTTTCCTATTGAGTTGTTTGAGATCCTTTCACATTCTGGTTGTTAATCCCTTGTCAGTGGCATATGGAAATGCTACTGATTTTTGTATGTTGATTTTGTGTCCTGCAAATTTAGTGAATTTATCAGTTCTAATAGCTTTTTGATGGAGTCTTTAGGTTTTTCTAAATATAAGATTGTATCATCTACAAACAAGGATAATTTGACTTCTTTTTTTCCAATTTGGATGCCTTTATTTCTTCTCTTATCTAATTGCTTTAGCTAGATGGGCTGTAAATTTTTTCTCCCATTCTGTCAGTTGTGTCTTCATTTTGTGAATTGTTTCCTCTTTTGAGCAGAAGCTTTTTAGATTGATGTAATCTCATTTGTCCATATTTCTTTGGTTGCCTGTGCTTTTGAGGTATTACTCAAGAAATTTTTGCCCAGACCAATGAACTGGAGAGTTTCCCCAATGTCTTCTTGTAGTAGTTTCATAGTCGGAGGTCTTAGATTTAAGTCTCTAATCCATTTTGATTTTATTTTTGCATATGGTGAGAGATAGGGGTCTAGTTTCACTCTTCTGCATATGGATATCCAGTTTTCCCAGCACCATTTATTGAATAGACTGTCTTTCCCTGCAGTGTATGTTCTTGGCACCTTTTTCAAAAATGAATTCACTGTAGGTTGGTGGATTTATTTCTGGGTTCTCTATATTCTGTTCCACTGGTCCATGTGTGTGTTTTTATGCCAGTACCACACTGTTTTGGTTACTATAGTTTTGTAGTATAATGTGAAGTCAGCTAATGCGATTCCTCCAGTTTCGCTCTTTATGCTCAGAATGGTGTTGGCTTTCTGTGCATTTTGTGTTTCCACATAAATGTTGAGATTAGTCTTCTATTTCTGCGAAGAATGTCATTGGTATTTTCATAGGGATTGCATTGAATCTGTAGATCGTTTTGGGTAGTATGGACATTTTAACAATATTGTGTGTTCCAATCCATGAACATGGAATATATTTCCGTTTGTTTTGTTTTTTTTTTTTTTGGTGTGTGTCCTTTTCCATTTCTTTCATTATGCTTTTATAGTTTTTATTGCAGGGATCTTTCATTTCTTTGGTTTATTCCTAGGTACTTTATTTTATTTGTGGCTACTATACATGGGATTACTTTCCTTTTTTTTTTTCAGATTGTTTGCTGTTAGCATATAGAAATGCTACTGAATTTTGTATGTTGATTTTATATCCTGCAAGTTTAGTGGATTTGTTTATCAGTTCTAACAGCTTTTTGATGAAGTCTTTAGGTTTTCCTTTTTTTTTGAGATGGAGTTTCACTCTAGTTGCCCAGGCTGAATGGTGCTATCTCGGCTCGCTGCAATCTCTGCCTCCTGGCTTCAAGCAATTCTCCTGCCTCAGCCTCCCAAGTAGCTGTGATTACAGGTGCCTACCACCATGTCTGGCTAATTTTTTTGTATTTTTAGTAGAGATGGAGTTTTACCATGTTGGCCAGGCTAGCCTTGAACTCATGACCTGCGGTGATCTGCCTACTTTGGCCTCCCAAAATGCTGGGAATACAGGCTTTAGTCAAGTTTTTTTTTTTTTTTTTTTTTTTTTTAAAGACAGAGTCTCCCTCTGTCACCCAGGCTGGAGTGCAGTGGTGCAGTCTTGACTCACTGCAACCTCCGCCTTTTTGGTTCAAGCGATTCTCCTGCCTCACCCACACAAGTAGCTAGGATTACAGGCATGTGCAACCACTCCCAGCTAATTTTTGTATTTTTTTTTTTTTAGTAGAGATGGAGTTTTGCCATGTTAGCGAGGCTGGTCTTGAACTCCTGACCTCATTTGCTTGCCTCAGTCTCCTAAAGTACTGGGATTATAGGTGTGAGCCACCAAGCCCAGCTGTCTTTAGGTTTTTCTAAAGACAAGATTATAACATCTGCAGACAAAGATCTTGACCTCTCTTTTTCCAGTTTGGATGCCCTTTATTTCTTTCTCTTGTCCAAGTGCTTTAGCTAGGACTACCAATAATATGTTGAAGAATAGTGGTGAAAGTGGACACCCTTGTTGTGCTCTGGATCTTAGAGCAAAGACTTTCAGTTTTTCCCCATTCAGCGTGATACCAGCTGTGGGTCTGTTGTACATGCCTTTGATCATGTTAAGGTATTTTCCTTCTATTTCCAGTTTCTTGAGAGTTTTTATCTTGAAAGGATGTTAAATTTTATCAAATGCCTTTTTTGGCATCCATTGAAGTGATCATATAGTTTTTTTGTCCTTCATTCTGTTGATAAGATGTATCACACTGATTGATTTGCATCAGCCACAACCCACTTTAGATGCTGTAGGCGTGCCCGTTCCCTAGCCACCCCTCTGGGACTGTTTCACACATTTATATTCCTTGGCTGGCCCCATCAGCATTTGAGTTTGAGGGCCCTGTCTAAAGCGTTCAGACTTTTGAAAAGCAGAAGCCAGAAAGGCTTATAGATGCATGCTGCGTGGATCAGAAGAAAGGAAAGAGAAGAGGAAAGAAAAGAAAGCCCAAGTTAACATGTCAACATGTTTCCGGGTTTAGAGCAAGAGGTGGGGAGGATTGGATAAGTGGACTCACAACTGCGTTTTCTCAACCAGGATTGACCCAGGAGGCCTCAGTGCACTCCAAGAACACTGGCAGGGAGGAATTCCTCACCGCCTTCCTGCAGAACTATCAGCTCGGCTACAGCAGGGCCTACCCCAGCCTCCTAATCTCCAGTCTGTCCGAGAGCCCCGCCTCGGTTGTCATCCTCAGCCATGCAGACAGTACCTCACAGCAGGTCACAGTGAGGCCCAGAGAGTCAGTCATGGTCAACATCAGTGCCAAGGCTGAGATGATGGGCAGCAAGACCTTCCAGCATGCGGTGGTGGTCCACTCTGACCATGCCATCTCTGTGCAGGCACTAAACACCAAGCCCGACACAGCGGAGCTGACACTGCTGCGGCCCACCCCGGCCCTGGGCACTGAGTACTTTGTGCTCACGCCCCCCGGCACCTCAGCCAGGAATGTCAAGGAGTTTGCGGTGGTGGCTGGTGCTGCAGGTGCCTCGGTCAGTGTCAAGTTGAAGGGGTCAGTGACATTCAACGGCAAGTTCTACCCAGCAGGCGGTGTCCTAAGTGTGACTCTCCAGCCCTACAATGTGGCCCAGCTCCAGAGCACAGTAGATCTCTCGGGGTCAAAGGTCACAGCCAGTAGCCCTGTGGCTGTCCTCTCTGGCCACAGCTGTGCCCAGAAACACACGACCTGCAACCATGTGGTGGAGCAGCTGCTACCCACATCGGCCTGGGGCACCCACTATGTAGTACCCACTCTGGCCTCCCAATCCCGCTACGATTTGGCCTATGTTGTGGCTAGCCAGGCCACAAAGCTGACCTACAACCATGGGGGTACCGCTGGCTCCCGTGGGCTCCAGGAGGGCGATGTGGTAGAGTTTGAGGTCCGGCCATCCCGGCCACTCTACCTGTCTGCAGATGTGGGCATTCAGGTCCTGCTGTTCGGCACAGGTGCCATAAGGAATGAAGTGACCTATGACCCCTTCCTGGTCCTGATCCCCAGTGTGGCGGCCTACTGCCCTGCCAATGTGGTCAAGAGTGTGCCAGGCATTGAGGGCGTGGCCCTGGTGGTGGCACAGACAAAGGCTACCAGCGAGCTGACCATAGATGGGCAGGCAATGGGGGCCAACCTCGCCTGGGCAGCTGTGCCAGGCAGCGAGTTCTCGTACGCTGAAGTGGAGCTCGGCACAGCCGACGTGGTCCACGTGGCCCAGGCCACCACCAACTTCGGGATGCTCACCTTCGGGCTGACCAAGGCTGTGGGCTATGCGACAGCAGCTGACTGCAGCCAGAGTGAGTGATGGAAAATGACCCCTGGCTCTGTCTACCTGGTGACCGCCTTCCCACCCAGCTGCTCCTCTGTGGCTTTCAGGATCAGCTGGGCTGTCCTCCCCTCATCTCCCTTCTCTGAGACATCCTTCCTCAAGCTTTCTCAGCCCCTCCCCTCCTCCCAGAAACAATATTCTAAATATTTAGCAACCAGGGCGAGCTAGAGCACTACCCGTCAGAAGAGTCAGCAGCAGGAGCACTGCAACAGGGTCCTGAAGCCCCCACCAAACCGGCATCAGCCCTTGTCTGTTGGTTTGTCTGGGAAGGGTCCTAGGGGAGAGCCAGGGTGCTGAGAAGGAGGGATCTTTGGGGTTGTGGGGGGACAGTCAGGTCAGCAGCTTCTTACCAGCCACTTTGGAAATATTTTGATATTTTAGCAACTGACATAGCCATACCAGTTGCTAAGCTGCTCCCCACACCTCAGATAGGAATGTTGATACCCAAACTCAGGAGGTCTAAATGTACAATAATCAGATGACGACTACGTGTTGCAGAGGGGGAGTATCTTGCAGTCTTTCTAGATGTTTCACGTGTTTTTGACACAGTTAGTGTATATGACCAGGCAGTCTGTGCGACCTCAGGCTCAGCCCACGAGAAGCTGCCGGTGTAGCAGTATGGGGTCTGAGGACACGCATGCTACAGCCAGGCTCCCAGGGTTCAAACCCCAGCTCTGCTGTGTATCTTGGACAAGTGACTTCTCTCTGGGCTTCAGTGTCCACATCTGTAAAATGGGGATAACTGCTTCTCGCTCAAAACTTTTTTTGTTTTAGAGATAGGGTGTCACTCTGTCACTCGGGCTGGAGTGCAGTGGTGTGATCATAGCTCACTGCAGGCTTGAACTCTTGGGCTAAAGCAATCCTCCCTCAGCCTCCTAAGTGGCTGGGACTACAGGCAATGCACCACCACACCCAGCTAATTTTTAATTTATTTTTTTGTAGACACAGGGTCTTGTCATGTTGCCCAGGCTGGTCGCAAATTCTTGGGATCAAGCGATCCTCCTGCCTCAGCCTCCCAAAGGGCTGGAATTACAGGCCTGAGCCACCATTCCCAGCTGCAAAAACTTTTGAGGCCAGGGAGACAGATAAGAGGAAAGGCTATTTCTTTCCATGTAATCCCTGTCATGCTAGGACTCTGGTGTTCCTGGACCTGGCAAAAATACCCCTCCCCTGTCGGCCAAGGCATGGAAGCCACCAACTTCAAAGAGCTATTTTGGGCTTGAGAAATAAAACAAGGGAGCAGTGGGTGATTAATTATAATGGGTAACGCTCCATTTAACACCTAGGTTCAGTTCTAAAGCTTTCTTGGGTTTGTTTGTTTATTTTGAGACAGTCCGGCTCTGTTGCCCAAGCTGCAGTGCAGTGGCGTGATCTTGGCTCACTGCAACCTCCACCTCCCAGGTTCAAGCAGTTCTCCTGCCTCAGCCTCCTGAGTAGCTGGGACTACAGGCACGCCCCATCAGGCCTGGCTAATTTTTGTATTCTTAGTAGAGACGGGGTTTCACCATGTTGGCCGGGCTGGTCTTGAACTCTTTTTTTTTTTTTTTTCCCAAAGCTCCTGCAAATCAAGGTCTCAAACTCTTGACCTCATGATCCACCTACCTCGGCCTCCCAAAGTGCTGGGATTACAGGCATGAGCCACCGTGCCCTGCCAGCTCTCTTCAGTTTTACCTTATTTAAACCTAACTCCTCCCACCAAGATCCCTGTGAAGGAGGTATCATCACCCTCACCCCCATGTTACAAATGAGAAAACTGAGCCAGAGGGAGTTTAAAACAACTTGCCCATTGTCTCAGAGTCAACTGGTTGCGCCAGGATTCCTACCTAGGCAGCCTGACTCCACAGTCCTTTGCATTCTGCTGAAGTCTCTGTCTTCCATTTTCTGTCCTTAAAAAAAATGCCTCACCTCTTTTTGATCCTAGAGGGAAGGAAGGGAAGAGGGGAAAAGAGGGAGAGAAAAACACAAATTAACATTTTAATGACGGTTTCTGCCTTTCCTTATTAGCTGTCCTGTGTTAAACTGGAGACTCAAAAAACCTCGGGTTTTCAGAGAGGCCTGAGCAACTCTCTTTCTGTGGTGTTTCAGACCTCAGTTTTCCCCACCTTTAAAATGGGCGGTTGGGAGCAAACTGCTCAAGCTTCCCAGGCAAGGTGGGCTCCAGGATCTCCAGGATGCCTCCCCACTGAGGCCTGAGGACTGTCTTCTTCCTTCTTCCTTCTCCTTCTCCTCCTCCTCCTTCTTCCCTCCTCCTTCTTCCTCCTCCTCCTTCTCCTTCATCTTCCTTCTTCCTCTTCTTCTTCCTTCTTCCTCCTCTTCCTTCTTCCTTCTTTCTTCCTTCCTTCCTCCCCACCCTCCCTCCTTCCTCCTCCTCCTCCTCCTTCTCATCCTCCTCATCCTCATCCTCCTTGCTCTGTGCCCAGGCTGGAGTGCAGTGGTAAGATCTCAACTCACTGCAACCTCCCTCTCCTGGGTTCAAGTGATTCTCCTGCCTCAGCCTCCCAAGTAGCTGGGATTACAGGTGTGTGCCACCATGCCCCACTAATTTTTGTATTATTAGTGTAGACAGGGTTTCACCATGTTGGCCAGGCTGGTCTCGAACTCCTGGTCTCATGCCATCCACCTGCCTCAGCCTCCCAAAGTGCTTGGATTACAACCCCGCGGACACTTCTGACTCTCTCTTTTCACCGTTCCCTTCCCTCCCCAGCTGTGCTGGCCCCAGTGGAGCCCTCCTGCGAAGGCGTGAAGTGCCCAGCCAGGCAGCGCTGCAAGGTGGTGGATGGGAAGGCCAAGTGCGTGGCGGAGTCCCCCGCTGTCTGCCGCGCCCAGGGTGACCCCCATTACACCACCTTTGATGGCCGTCGCTACGACATGATGGGCACCTGTTCATACACGATGGCGGAGTTGTGCAGTGAGGATGACACCCTGCCCGCCTTCAGCGTGGAGGCCAAGAACGAGCACCGGGGCAGCCGCCGCGTCTCCTACGTGGGCCTGGTCACCGTGCGTGCCTACAGCCACTCCGTGTCGCTGACCCGCGGGGAAGTTGGCTTTGTCCTGGTGAGTTCCTGAAGGCTTCAGGGACTTAACATCCATGAGCTGCGGGTCCAAAGGCGGAGGCAGAGCCCAGTGGCCGACCTCAAACCAGAATGCGGAGAAATGGGCCATGGGGATGGAGGGTAGGGAGGCGGGGTTTGAAAATCAGTAGCTGCCAGGCGCGGTGGCTCATGCCTGTAATCCCAGCACTTTGGGAGGCCGAGGCGGGCGGATCAAGAGGTCAGGAGTTCGAAACCAGCCTGACCAACATGGTGAAACCCCGTCTCTCCTAAAAATACAAAAAATAGCCAGGCGTGGTGGCACACGCCTGTAATCCCAGCTACTTAGGAGGCTGAGGGAGGAGAATTGCTTGAACCCAGGAGGCGGAGGTTGCAGCGAGCCGAGATCGCACCACTGCACTCCAGCCTGGGTGACAGACTGAGGCTCCATCTGAAAAAACAAAGAAACAAACAAACAAATAAATCGGTAGCAGGACCTTAGAACCCTGCCCTCCAGCAATCCCACATCTAGAAATTTTAAGGATATTCAGAGACAGGGTTCACCTGGTGGGATGGGGTGGGGGGAATGCCAACATGGATTATAATAGCAAAAAACAAAAACAAACAAAAAATACTGTCCTAGTTAGAAAGGAAATTAAATATCCAACAATGGGGGATTCACCTTGACCAAATAATGAAATATAATGAGCCCCTGCAATGCACAGATATGTTTCTTAGCTCTTTTCTCATCTTCATGCGTTTAGTGCTCACGAGCTCTGTCCAGCACGCATGATTATTGTGACCGTGTTCAGACTGGGAAACTGAGGTTGAACTAGGCTAGTGAGTTCCCCAGGGCTCAGATCTAGTAAGGGGTGGAGGTGAGGGCACAGGTGCGCTGGCTCCAGAGTCCCTGTTCTTAGTCCCTCAGCTGTCTTCACTCTGGTACATGCATTACTACTCAGTTCATATGAATAACAGCAGCCTAGAGCCATTACTTCCTTTTTCCCGCCATGTTATGATGAAAATATTAAAATGTCCAAAGTTGAAATTCTTGTACAGAGTCAAAGTTGAAGGCTCAGATGCCAATCATCTAGACTTTTCTTTCTTCCCTCCCTTCCTCCCTCCCCCTCCTTCCTTCCTTCCTTCTTTCTTTTCTTTCTTTCTTTCCTCTTTCCTTCCTTCCTTCTTTCCTTCCTTCCTCCCTCCCTCCTTCTCTCTCTCCTTCCTTCCTTCCTTCCCTCCTTCTTTCCTTCCTTCCTTCCTTCCTTCCTTCTTTTGACAGAGTCTCGCTCTGTCATCCAGGATAAAGTGCAGTGGCATGATCAGGTTCAAGTGATTCTCCTGCCTCAGCCTCCCGAGTAGCTGGGATGACAGGCATGCACCACCACACCCGGCTAATTTTTGTGTTTTTGTAGAGACAGGGTTTCACCATCTTGGCCAGGCTGGTCCTGAACTCCACCCAGGCTGGAGTGCTATGGCGTGGTCTCGGCTCACTGCAACCTTGGCCTCCTGGGCTCAAGTGATTCTCCCGCCTCAGCCCTCCCGAGTAACTGGGACTACAGGTGCTTGCCACCATGCCTGGGTAATTTTTGTATTTTTAGTAGAAATGGGGTTTCACCATGTTGGCCAGGCTGGTCTCGAACTCCTGACCTCGTGATCTGCCTGCCTTGACCTCCCAAAGTGCTGGGATTACAGGCATGAGCCACTGCGGCCAGCCTTACTTTTTATTTTTTTGTCAGAGGTCAGTGACTTGACAAAGGTGTAGAGCTACTAGCAGAATCACGGTAGGATACTCACAAGACATTGTTAGGAGAGGAGTTAATGAAACAGCTACTTCAGCATGGTCTTTTTTTTAAGTGTAAATATATCTAAAGGTAGGAAAAAACTCAATAGGATCTATACATTTGTATGTGTGTGCCTACAGGGTGGTTTTCCTTTTCTCATTTTTGCTCATGTGCATTTTCTGTTTTCTGTAATGAACGAATATTATTTGCGTCATTTAAAAATGGTAGCTTATGCCTGTGATCCTAGCACTTTGGGAGGCGGAGGCAGGAGGATTATTTGAGCCCAGAAATTTGAGGCCAGCCTGAGCAACATAAGGAGACCCCATCTCTACAAAAAAAAAAAAAAAATAGCTGGGTGTGGTGGCGCATGCCTATGGTCCCTGCTTCCTGGGAGGCTGAGGCAGGAAGATGGCTTGAGCCTAGGAGGTCGAGGCTGCAGTCAGCTATGATGCTGCTACCACACTCCAGGTTGGGCGACAGAGGAAAACTGTCTTAAAAAAAATACATACGTGGCCGGGCGTGGTGGCTCAAGCCTGTAATCCCAGCACTTTGGGAGGCCGAGGCGGGTGGATCACAGGGTCAAGAGATCGAGACCATCCTGGTCAACATGGTGAAACCCCGTCTCTACTAAAAATACAAAACATTAGCTGGGCATGATGGCGCGTGCCTGTAGTCCCAGCTACTGAGGCAGGAGAATTGCCTGAACCCAGGAGCTGGAGGTTGCGGTGAGCCGAGATCGCGCCATTGCACTCCAGCCTGGGTAACGAGAGCAAAACTCCGTCCCCAAAAAAAAAAAATACATATGTAAAAAAATAGAAAAATAAAAATAGAGATCATGGACTTAGGGGAGAGGCAGATTTGAGCAGCCATCCTGGGCTGAGAGCCCTGAGCATGGGGCCATGGCCTGTCTCCGTCACTGCAGCATCTAAAGCACAGCTGGCACAGAGCAGGCCACGCCATGGGACTCACAGAGGCTTTGCTGGGAGCCAGAATGAGTGAATGCTCTGTCTTCCCTCTGGGCCATTGCTCATGCTGTCCCCTCTCCTGTTGCTGCTTTTTTCATATTCTATCCTTTGGACTAAGACTTTCTCCACTTCAAGTCTCAGCTCTGGCGCAGCTCGGAGAATGCGTAGGGAAAGAGTAACAAAGAGATGCCCAGGCTGGGTGCGGTGGCGCACGCCTGTAATCCCAGCACTTTGGGAGGCCAAGGTGGGAGGATTGGTTGAGCCAGGAGTTCCAGACCAGCCTGGACAACATAGTGACACCCCATCTCTAATTAATTTTTTTTTTATTAATTAAAGAAAAGAGGCTGGGCACGGTGACTCACCCCTGTAATCCCAGCACTTTGGGAGGCTGAGGCGGGGAGATCACTTGAGGTCAGGAGTTTGAGACCAGCTTAGCCAACATGGTGAAACTCCGTCTCTACTAAAAATACAAAAATTATCTGGGCATGGTGACGTGCACCTGTAATCCCGGGTGGGAGAATTGCTTGAACCCATGAGGCAGAGGTTGCAGTGAGCTGAGATCATGCCACTGCACTCCAGCCTTGGTGACAGAACAAGATTCCATCTCAAAAAAAAAAAAAGAGAGATGCCCAGAGGCACAAAGAGATACAGTTCTTTTCTCCTGGTTCTTAGACTTCAGGCTGCTGTAATACCAGAGCCTGGGAGGCTTACAAACAACGCAACCTTGTCTCTCACAGTTCTGGAGGCTGGCAGTCCCAGATGAGGGCACCAGCGCCACCAGGCTCAGGTGAGGGCCCTCTTCCGGGTTGCAGATGGCTTACTTCTTGTATCCTCACACGGTGGAAAGAGAACTCGAGAGCTCTCTGAGGCCTGTGTCATAAGGGCGCTAATCCCATTCATGAGGGTGCCATCCTCATGACCTAATCACCTCCCAGAGGCCTACCCCACTCTTAATACGATCATGTTGGGGGCTAAGATTTCAACACGTGGGCTTTGCAGGAGACACAAAGCCAGACGGACCGGCCCGGACCTCTGTCCACTCAGGACACGTGCCCTGGAATATCCTACCCCCTCCCGGTTTTCCTGGCTCTCTCTCTCCCTTACTGGTCCTTTAAGGCTTAGCACAGCTGTTCTTTCCTCTGGAAAGCCTTCTCTGACCAGCAACGTTAGATCTGGCTGTTTTTCTAGGTTTTCACAGCCTCCCATCTCCCCACTACCCCAGCTCTGAACCCTCCCCTATCCCACCCTTCTCCCCTCTGCCTGGCCTTTCTGATCCCGGCCTTGACTCTTCTGCCTGTGCTTTTCTCCTCTTAGCCCTGACCCCCCTGAACTCTCACTGTCTGGTGATGGGTCTGTTTATCTGAATGGACTGGGAGCCCTGTGAGGGTGGGACCTGGGGCTGCCTTGGTCACCTTCGTATTCTCAGGATCTCCCAGCCCACGACCAGCCACAGAGTGCATGCTCAGTGAATGTTATTAGATGCAGCAGTGACTTCATTCAGCTAGTGAGTGCCTGTGATTCTACCAGGCCCTGTTCTATGCACTGGGAATAAAGCAGCAATCAAAGCAGACCCAAACCCCTGTCTCTGTGGAGTTGCCATTCTGATGGAGTAAGACAGATGATAAACATGGTCAATTCGTGAATTATGTTTTAGAAGGGCAGACACTATAGAAAACAAGGAAAGCAAGGAAGGAGGGTAAGGAGTAGGAAGAAGCTGCCTTTTTTTTTTTTTTTTTTTGAGATAGAGTCTCACTCTCTTTGGTGCGATCCTGGCTCACTGCAGCTTCCACCTCCTGGGTTCAAGCAATTCTTCGGCCTCAGCCACCTGAATAGCTGGGATCACAGGTGTGTACCACCGCACCCAGCTAATTTTTGTATTTTTAGTAGAGACAGCATTTCACCATTGGTCTCAAATTCCTGACATCGAGTGATCCACCCACCTCAGCCTTCCAAAGTGCTGGAATTACAGGTGTGAGCCACAGCGCCTGGCCCAAGGCTGCCATTTAAAGTTGGTTGTTGGCTAGGTCCTGTGGGTCATGCCTGTAATCCCAGCACTTTGGGAGGCTGAGGCAGGAGGATTGCTTGAGGCCAGGAGTTGAGACCATCCTGGACAACATAGCAAGACCTTGTCTCTATAAAAATAAAAATAAAATAAGACTGGGTGCAGTGCCTCACGCCTGTAATCCCAGCACTTTGGGAGGCTGAGACGGGTGGATCACGAGGTCAAGAATTCAAGACCAGCCTGGCCAAGATTGCGAAACCCCGTCTTTACTGAAAATACAAAAATTTGCCAGGCATGGTGGCAGGCGCTTGTAATCCCAGCTACTCAGGAGGCTGAGGTAGAGAATTGCTTAAATCCAGGAGGTGGAAGTTGCAGGGAGTAGAGATCACACCACTGCACTACAGCTAGATGACAGATCGAGACTCTGTCTCAAAATAAATAAATAATAAAAAAATAAAAAATTAAAACAAAATAGGGCAGCCAGGGAAAGCCCGAATCAGTGATATTTGAGCAAATATTTTATAGGAGGTACAGGAGTAGGCCGGGCACGGTGGCTCAAGCCTGTAATCCCAGCACTTTGGGAGGCCGAGGCGGGTGGATCACGAGGTCAAGAGATCGAGACCATCCTGGTCAACATGGTGAAACCCTGTCTCTACTAAAAATACAAAAAATCAGTTGGGCATGGTGGCGCATGCCTGTAATCCCAGCTACTCAGGAGGCTGAGGCAGGAGAATTGCCTGAACCCAGGAGGCGGAGGTTGCGGTGAGCCGAGATCGCGCCATTGCACTCCAGCCTGGGTAACAAGAGCGAAACTCCGTCTCAAAAAAAAAAAAAAAAAAGGAGGTACAGGAGTGAGTCATGTGTACATCTCCAGAAAGAACGTCTCGGGCCACAGATACTGCAAGAGGCAAGGTCTCTGATGGTGGCAGTAACAGAAAGAATGAGTCCCAGTGCCACGGGAGCAGGGGAGCAGGCGGGAGGCCCAGAAATGAGGGCTGGAGGCCAGATGGCACAGGGGCCTGACCACCCCCTCCTCACCTGCTCTGCAGATTGACAGCCAGCGCTCGCGCCTGCCAGTCTCCCTGAGTGAGGGTCGCCTGCGTGTGTACCAGAGTGGGCCACGGGCCGTGGTGGAGCTGGTCTTCGGGCTGGTGGTCACTTATGACTGGGACTGCCAGCTGGCACTCAGCCTGCCCACGCGCTTCCAAGACCAGGTGTGCGGGCTGTGTGGCAACTATAACGGTGACCCAGCGGACGACTTCTTCATGCCTGACGGGGATCAGGCTGCTGACCCCGTGGAGTTCGCAAGTAGCTGGAAGCTGGATGATGGGGACTACCTGTGTGAGGATGGCTGCCAGAACAACTGTCCCACCTGCACCCCAGGCCAGGCCCAGCACTATGAGGGTGACCGACTCTGCGGCATGCTGACCAAACTTGACGGCCCCTTCGCTGTCTGCCATGACACCCTGGACCCCAGGCCCTTCCTGGAGCAGTGTGTATACGACCTGTGCGTGGTTGGTGGGGATCGGCCCAGCCTGTGCCGTGGCCTCAGCGCCTATGCCCAGGCCTGTCTGGAGCTTGACATCTCGGTTGGGGACTGGAGGCCACCAGCCAACTGCCGTGAGTGATGCCCTGGGTGGGGGTTGGGAGCATACAGTGAGGGGCAGGGGACCCTTGGCATCTACTTAATATCGGAGAAGTTATTGTGGTTCAGCCTGGTGCCGGGCAATGCTAGGGGCCCAGTGATGGTGAAGACGGCCAGCTCTGTCCACAACGAGCCTAAGGTTGGAGCAGATGTTTCACCAGACACTAAAAGTCTGGAGGGTTCTAGGCAGGATGCGAAGGCCCATGCAGAGGGGTTGGGGCCAGGATGGGGGAGGCATAGGCAGATGAGTTAGGGCTGAGATTGTGGGGGGCATAGGCGTAGGGGTATGGGCCAGGATGGAGGAAGTTATTGGGGCTATGGGAAACAAGAGAAGCCTTCTGGGGAGCAGGGGTGGGCAGGGAGAGTTTTCTAGAGAAAGGGATGTCTAATTTGAAACCCATAGGAGGGGCTGGAAGTTGCCAAGAGAAAGAGGAGGAAGTGAGATGCAGGCCCAGAGAACAGCACGCTCAAAGGCTTGGCACGACAGGAATTCCTGTCTACAGAATCCCAACACAGGCAGGCGGACGTCTCTTCCTTTGCCTGTAACCCTCCCATGACTCCCATTGCCCTCTAGATAAAGTCCAGGCTCTATAGCCAGATGTCCATCTGCTTAATCATTCACTCATTCATTCCCCAAGCATTCCTTGAACCCCTACCTGCCCCCCCTCGCATGCTGATGATATTGAAGACACAGTGAGGATCAGCATAGATCTGTTCCCTCCCTTGTCAGTGAGGCTCCTAGAGACATGCCCCAGAGGCAGAAAGGACAGGCAGGAGGGAGGAGGAGGCATTCAGGCCCAGCCCCAGGCCCAAGGGACGGGGAGTAAGTATGAGGGAGACATAGAGGCCACTGGGCGTTTGTCTTGGCCAGTGCTCTGTCCCTACTGCCCAGTAAGCCCCTCACCCCCACCCCATGGCTGGTATGAAATGGGAACCAGAGAGTTCATTCTTCCTCCCATTCATTTCTGCAGTATTTCCTGAGCACCTGCTGTACGCCAGGCCCTGTCCTTGGTGCTGAGGACTCAGCAGCGATTGAGACAGACCAGGTCCCCACTCCTGTAGAACTTATCTCCTAGTGGGAGGGGAGGGACACAGACAGTGAGCAGATAAACTAGAAAGTATCTTCAGAGAGTCAAAGAAACAAGTTCATGCAGTGACAGTGACTGGGAGGCTTATGAAGAGGGTGATCAGGGAATGCCTTTCTGGGCAGGTGACATTGGAGCTGAGACCAGGGTCAGGCAACAGAGTCAGCTAAGTACTAACAGTAATGTCCACAGAATGTTTCTCCAGAGATCAACTCATTTAACCCCCACAACAACCTTGTGAGGTCTGGACCATATTAACCCATCTTACTGATGGGGAAACTGAGGCATGTGGAGATTGGAGTCAGTGGTCGAGAAGGAGAGATCTGGGATTTGAACCCAGGCCACCTGGGCCCCAGTGGGCTTTCTGAGGAAAGGGAAGGCAGAGGAAACAGCCAATACAAATAAATGCCCTGAGGTTGGAGCTAGACGACCAGGGAGGAGGACGCAGCTGGGGCTGGGGCAGAATGAGCACGAGGGAGAGGGAGAGGGGGTGACGGCCAAGAGGTGAGAGGAGCGAATGGCACAGGGCCTCCTGGAGCATGGGGAGGACTGTGGTGTTTACCCTGAGTGAGAGGAAGCCACAGGAGGGCTCTGAGATGGGGAGGGACCTGATCTGACCCAGATGTTCCCAGATCCCTCTGGCTGGTGTGAGGAACAGGCTGTAGGGGCAGGAGGGAGCCCAGGCAGGAGGCTGCTGGGGTGCATAGGACCAGAGGCAGATTCTGTAACTGGGTGGATTTTTTTTCTTTCTTTCTTTTTTTTTTTTTTTTTTTTGAGACAGAGCCTTGCTCTGTCGCCCAGGCTGGGACGATATAGGCTCAATGCAACCTCTGCCTTCCGGGTGCAAGTAATTCTCCTGCCTCAGCCTCTCAGGTAGCCGGAATTACAGGCATGCTCCACCACACCTGGTCAGGCTGGGTAGATTTTGAATATGGAGCTCACAGGACTTGCTGACAGATGGGTTGTCCAGTGAGCTTTAGGGGGCTGGCGGGGTGGAGATTAACTGCATCTCCTGGATGGGGCGCAGGAGCACCCAGAGGGATGGAAGTGCCATTATCTGAGATGGCGAGCTCTGAGAGAAGAGCACGTTGTGGGGGGGAATTCCTGGGCGCTGTCGCGGACGGGGGCCCCTCGACGGCCCCGGCGGCGCCGGCCTGACCCACCATCTCCAATCTCCCCGCAGCCTTGACCTGCCCCGCCAACAGCCGCTACGAGCTCTGCGGCCCCGCCTGCCCGGCCTCCTGCAACGGGGCTGCGGCGCCGTCCAACTGCTCCGGGCGCCCGTGCGTGGAGGGCTGCGTGTGCCTCCCGGGCTTCGTGGCCAGCGGCGGCGCCTGCGTGCCGGCCTCGTCGTGCGGCTGCACCTTCCAGGGCCTCCTGCTCGCTCCGGGCCAGGAGGTGTGGGCGGACGAGCTGTGCCAAAGGCGCTGCACCTGCAACGGCACCACCACCCAGCAGGTGACCTGCCGCGACACGAAGGGCTGCCCGGCGGGCGAGCGCTGCAGCGTCCAGAACGGCCTCCTGGGCTGCTACCCCGACCGCTTCGGGACCTGCCAGGGGTCCGGGGATCCGCACTACGTGAGCTTCGACGGCCGGCGCTTCGACTTTATGGGCACCTGCACTTACCTGCTGGTCGGCTCGTGCGGCCAGAACGCGGCGCTGCCCGCCTTCCGGGTGCTGGTGGAGAACGAGCATCGGGGCAGCCAGACCGTGAGCTACACGCGCGCCGTGCGGGTGGAGGCCCGCGGGGTGAAGGTGGCGGTGCGCCGGGAGTACCCGGGGCAAGTGCTGGTGAGCGGCGCGGGTGCTCAGGGCTGGGTGTCGGGGCAGGAAACACCCTCTGAACACTTGGAGCTTTGAGTGGGACTGGGGGTGGGGAGGTCTGTTAGAAAATTTAAAATTTTTTTCTTTTTCATTTTTCCTTCTTGTGGAGAACAGGATCTCACTACGTTGCCCAGGCTGGTCTCCAACTCCTGGGTGCAAGCCACTCTCCCGCCTCAGCTTCCCAAAGTGCTAGGAAGTGAGCTATGATTGCATCACTGCACTCTGGCCTGGGTGACAGAGTGAGACCCCGTCTCTATTTTTAAAAGGAAGCCAGAGGCAGGGCACGGTGGCTCAAGCCTGTAATCCCAGCACTTTGGGAGGCCGAAGTGGGTGGATCACCTGAGGTCAGGAGTTCGAGACCAGCCTAGCCAACATGGTGAAACCCTCTCTCTACTAACAATACAAAAAAAAAAAAAAAAATACCCAGATGCAGTGGCTCATGCCTGTAATAATCCCAGCTACTCTGGAGGCTGAGGCAGGAGAATAGCTTGAACCCCAGAGGCAGAGTTTGCAGGGAGCCGATATTGTGCCACTGCACTCCAGCCTGAGTGACAGAGTGAGACCCTGTAAAAAATGATAAAAATAAATAAATAAATAAATAAAAGGAAGCTAGCATGATAGCAGCAGCCTGAGTGAGAGGGACAGTGAGAAGAGGCGAGGCCAGGGAGGTAATGGGGAGACAGACAGATCACATATGTTTTGAAGGCCATGGGTGAGGGACTTGGATTTAAGCTGGTGCTTTAGGAATGAAGAGGGTTGAATGATGAGTCAGGCAGAGGGAACAGGAAGTGCAAAGGCCTTGAGGTGGGACTGAGCATAATGTGTCCAAGAGAATAGCAAGGAGGTCAGGGCAGCTGGAGGTGAGTGAATTGGAGGATGGGCCAGCGAGCCGTGAATACCCTGACCACATGGCCCTCTTGCATCTCCACCCAGGTGGACGGCGTCCTTCAGTACCTGCCCTTCCAAGCAGCAGATGGGCAGGTGCAGGTGTTCCGCCAGGGTCGTGACGCCGTCGTGCGCACTGACTTTGGCCTGACCGTCACTTACAACTGGGATGCACGAGTGACTGCCAAGGTGCCCAGCAGCTATGCTGAGGCCCTGTGTGGACTCTGCGGGAACTTCAACGGGGACCCAGCTGATGACCTGGCTCTGCGGGGTGGGGGCCAAGCTGCCAATGCACTGGCCTTTGGGAACAGCTGGCAAGAAGAAACGAGGCCCGGCTGTGGAGCAACTGAACCAGGTGACTGTCCCAAGCTGGACTCCCTGGTGACCCAGCAGCTGCAGAGCAAGAAAGAGTGTGGAATCCTTGCTGACCCCGAGGGGCCCTTCCGGGAGTGCCACAGCAAGCTGGACCCCCAGGGTGCCGTGCGCGACTGTGTCTATGACCGCTGCCTGCTGCCAGGCCAGTCTGGGCCACTGTGTGATGCGCTGGCCACCTACACTGCTGCCTGCCAGGCTGCTGGAGCCACAGTGCACCCCTGGAGGAGTGAGGAACTTTGCCGTGAGTATCGCAAGTGGCAACTGGGGTACTCAACCTTATATATATATTCATTAGTGTATAAATGTCATTAATTCATTTAATCCTTTTTTTTTTCTAAGAGTTTCACTCTTTTCACTCTTGTTGCCCAGGCTCGAGTGCAATGGCGCAATCTCTGCTCACTGCAACCTCCGCCTCCTGGGTTCAAGCGATTCTCCTGCTTCAGCCTCCCAAGTAGCTGGGATTACAGGCTCACACCACCATGCCCGGCTAAATTTGTATTTTTTTTTAGTAGAGATGGGATTCCAGATTGGTCAGGCTGGTCTCGAACTCCTGACCTCAGCTGATCCACCCACCTCGGCTTCCCAAAGTGCTGGGATTACAGGCGTGAGCCACCTCGCCCTGCCCATTTAATCCTTACAACAGCCCTGTGAGGTAGGGATTGTTGCCTAGTCTGGTCTCCAACTCCTGGCCTCAATCCACCCTCTCCGCCTCAGCTTCCCAAAGTGCTAGGAAGTGAGCTATGATCATAGCTTTTGATGTAGGTTTTGTGTTGTACCTAATTTAACAGATGAAGAAACTGAGGTTCAGAAAGTTTCAGTTACATGCCTGAGATCATGATAGCTAGAAAGTCACAGATGGCAGGCATGCAGCTGGTATTTGAAAAATGGCAGTACACCTGGTGGCCCAGGATCTGATTCGCATATAACAGCTGTCATTGAGATATGAGCAGCAGTATTGTCGTTAGGAGTCTCATCCCCTCTCTGGTTCTTTTTGGTCTCCATCTATCCTACTTCATTTATTTACATCTGCCTGCCCTTGGGCAGTCTGTTTGAGAGCCTTGTCTCAGTGGAGGCTGCATGAATGGTCTTCCAATGTTTTTGTTTGCCAAGAAAACAAGTTTGAAAAGCCATGCATCCTCTCACCTGATTTTTTTTTTTCTTTTTTGAGATGGAGTTTTGCTCTTGTTACCCAGGCTGGAGTGCAGTGGCACAATCTCAGCTCGCTGCAACCTCTGCCTCCTGGGTTCAAGCAATTCTCCTGACTCAGCCTCCTGAGCAGCTGAGATTACAGGTATGCGCCACCATGCCCGGCTGATTTTGTATTTTTAGTAGAGATAGGGTTTCTCCATGTTGGTCAGGCTGGTCTCGAACTCCCTATGTCATGATCCACCCACCTCAGCCTTCCAAAGTGCTCCATCTGATTTTGTTTTAAGATGGGATCTTGCTCTGTTACCCAGGCTGGAATGCAGTGGTGCAATCATAGTTTACTGCGGCCTGGAACTCCTGGGCTCAAGTGATCCTCCTGCCTCAGCCTCCTGAGTAGCACCAACCCCAGCTAATTTTTAAAATATTTTTTTACAGAGACAGGGTTTTGATTTTTTGCCTAGGCTGGGCGCGAACTCTTGGGCTCAAGCAATCCTCCTGCCTCCGCCTTTCAAAGTACTGGGGTTACAGGCGCGAGCCACTGTACCAGGTGCCTCTCACCTGATTTTTAATTTTTAAAACTTATTGAAATATACAGATATTCAAAAATATGTACATATCATAAGCTAACAGCTTGATCAGTTTTAGCAAGAGAACAAATCTGTGTGAACAGTCCCAAATTCAAAAAAAGAACATCCAGGCCTCCAACCCCAAGAGGTAACCACCATTCTGGCTTCTGAAGTTTTTACATTTTGGAATCAATGGAAGCATACACATCTAGTTTTTTACCTGAAATAATTACAAAACTTATAATGTCTAACAAATGGTAACTTTTGACTTTAAGAACTTTTCTTTTTGGGATGAAGTCTTGCTCTGTCGTTCAGGCTGGAATGCAGTGGCGCAATCTCGGCTTACTGCAACCTCCACCTCCACCTCCACCTCCCGGGCTCAAGCAATTCTCCTGACTCAGCCTCCCGAGTAGCTGGGATGACAGGCACCCGCCACCCCACCTGGCTAATTTTTTTGTAATTTTAGTAGAGAAGGGGTTTCACTACGTTGGCCAGGCTGGTTTCGAATTCCTGACGGCAAGTGATCCACCCACCTCAGCCTCCCAAAGTGCTGGGATTACAGGCATGAGCCACCACGCCTGGCCAAGTATTTATTCTTTCTCATGATGCCAGGGGCTGCTGAGGTGTTCTCCCCAGCCTGGGCCAGCTTGGTTGGTGTCTGCAGTCTGTTGGAGGCTCAGCTGAGGCTGGGTAAATCTAGGGCGGGTTTTACACATCTGGCAGTTATCCAGCTGGTTGGTTTTGGGGGCCCTCAGCTGGGACTTGTTGTCTCTGCTCCACTTGGTCTCATCTTCAAGCGGGTGAACCCAAGCTTCTTCCCAAGGTGCTCTCAAGATTCCTAAGAGCAGCAAAAGCACACAAGCCCCAGTGTGCAAGCACGTTCCAAGGCTCAGCTCAGCATCATGTTTGCCAGTGTTCCATTGGCCAAAGCAAGTACCATGGTTGTGCCCAGAGTCAAGACGTGGCCATTGGCAGCCTGCGTCAGAATCCCCATCACACTTCTCTGCCGCAAACATACACATATATGACTAAGATTTCAGAATGTTTATAATCCTAGCTACTCAGGAGGCTGAGGTGGGAGGATCCCTAGAGGCTGGGAGTTAGATACCAGCCTGAGCAACATAGCAAGAGCCTATTTCTGATTAACAGTGCAGGCTGAGTGTGGTGGCTCATGCCTGTCATCCCAGCGCTTTGGGAGGGTGAGGTAGGGGGATCATCAGAGGCCAGTAGTCTGAGACCAGCCTGGCCAACATGGCAAAACTTCGTCTATACTGAAAATTAGCCGGGTGTGATGGCGCGTACCTGTATTCCCAGCTACTTGGGAGGGTGAAGCAGAAGAATCACTTGAACCTGGGAGGTGGAGGTTGCAGCGAGCCGAGATCGTGCTGCACTTCAGCCTGGGCGACAGAGTGAGATTCCGTCTCAAAAAAATTAAATAAATAAATAAATAAATAAAAAACAGTGCAATCCTCACCCATCCTGAATCCTAACACAAGGTGTGTTGCCCTGGGGTGTGAAACCTCCTGGGACAAAACAGACTTCTTAGAAAAGATATAAGAAGTTTTAGAGCCGGGCGCGGTGGCTCAAGCCTGTAATCCCAGCACTTTGGGAGGCTGAGGCGGGTGGATCACGAGGTCAAGAGATCAAGACCATCCTGGTCAACATGGTGAAACCCCGTCTCTACTAAAAATACAAAAAATTAGCTGGGCGTGGTGGTGCGTGCCTGTAATCCCAGCTACTAAGGAGGCTGAGGCAGGAGAATTGCCTGAACCCAGGAGGCGGAGGTTGCGGTGAGCCGAGATCGCGCCATTGCACTCCAGCCTGGGTAACATGAGTGAAAGTCCATCTCAAAAAAAAAAAAAAAAAAAAAAAAAAAGAAGTTTTAGAAATTCCTGACACTATAAGACCCTAAGTGGCTCTGGAAGCAAACCAAATACACATGCTGCATTGGATTGATCTACCTTCATGCTTTTACTCTGTCAGAATTTCTTTAGTTCCTCCCAACGTTACGAAAATTGTGAAATATACAAAAAAGTTGAAAGAATTTTACAGGGAAGATCCACAAACCCACCTCCTGGACTCTACACTCTAATTCTTTTTTTTTTTTTTTTTTTTTTTTTGAGTCGGAGTGTCACTCTGTTGTCCAAGCTGGAGTGCAGTGGTGTGGTCTCAACTCACTGCAACCTCCGCCACCTGGGTTCAAGCGATTCTCCTACCTCAGCCTCTTGTGTAGTTGGGATTAAAGGCGTGTGCCACCATGCCTGGCTAATTTTTGTATTTTTAGTAGAAACGGGTTTCACCATGTTGGCCAGGCTGGTCTCGAACTCCTGACCTCAAGTGATCCTTCCGCCTCATCTTCGCAAAGTGTTGGGATTACGGATATGAGCCACCGAGCCGGGCCTCTACACTCTAATTCTAATTCACTTATTTGCTTTATCACATATCTATTCCTCCATCCATCTTTTCCTTTTGTTTATGTCATTTATTTATTTATTTGAAAAGACAGATTATTTATCCTGCCGAATTTCCTACTTTCGTGATCTGGCTAGTTGCTTCTTTGGAGTGTTACTGAACTTGTCTCTGTGTCCCCTTGATTATCCTGTAAGCTGGATGTTAGCTTCACAACGGCGCCACCCAGCAGAGCTTCAATGATGACAGCTCCATATCTGAGCTGTTCAAATACGTACCAGGTCGCCACAGGTCACGTGTGGCTGCTGAACACTTGAAATGAGGCTGTTTTGACTGAGGAACTGTCTTCCATTTTGTTTCATTTTAATTAACTTACATCTAAATGGTCACAAGTGGCTAGTGGCAAGTGTATTAGACAGCATAGATACAGGCTTAATGTGGTTCAGTTTTAGTCACTTAGATTCGCTTTTTTTTTTTTTTTTGAGACGGAGTTTCGCTCTTGTTACCCACACTGGAGTGCAATGGCGCTATCTCGGCTCACCGAAACCTCCGCCTCCTGGGTTCAAGCAATTCTCCTGCCTCAGCCTCCCCAGCAGCTGGGATTACAGGCATGCGCCACCATGCCCAGCTGATTTTTTGTAATTTTAGTAGAGACGGGGTTTCACCATGTTGACCAGGATGGTCTCGATCTCTTGACCTTGTGATCCACCCGCTTCGGCCTCCCAAAGTGCTAGGATTACAGGCTTGAGCCACCGCGCCTGGCCCCGCTTTTTTTTTTGAGACAGAGTCTCGCTCTGTCACCAGGCTGGAGTGCAGTGGCACGATCTCAGCTCACCGCAACCTCCGCCTCCCAGGTTCAAGCGATTCTCCTACCTCAGCCCCGCTAGTAGCTGGGATTACAGGCACCTGCCACCATACCTGGCTAATTTTTGTATTTTCAGTAGGGACAGGGTTTCACTGTGTTGGCCAGGCTGGTCTGGAGCCACTGCCCCTGGCTAGATTTGCTTTTTATAGACTGGAGTGACTGGAGTTTGGGGAGGGGAGCAGGGAGTTTTTTTTTTTTTTCCAACACTTGCTAAATATTTTAATTTAATTACTGCTATAGAAGGAAGAAGCTAAAAGTACTGCATTCACAAATATACTGCACAAATTACACACATACACACAAATATATGCATATGCATGTTTTTTCTTTTTTAATTTTCATTTTGCATATGCATGTTTAAAATATATACCACATATCAACAACCTGTATCCAACTTGAACAAGGTCATTAAAGACATAATAGAAGGCTGGGCGTGGCGGCTCATTCCTGTAATCCCAGCACTTTGAGAGGCTGAGGCAGGGGAACTGCTTGAGCCCAGGAGTTTGAGGCCAGCCTGGGCAACACAGTGAGACCCCATCTCTACAAAAAATTCAAAAAATTAGCCGGGTGTGCTGATGCACACCTGTAGTCCCAGCTGCTCAGGAGGCTGAGGTGGGAGGATTGCTCGAGTCCAGGAGGTCAAGGCTGCAGTGAGCCCCGGGAGCAAGCACCGCCGTGCTGCTCCAGCCTGAGCAACAGAGCAAACCCTATTTCAAAAAAAATAAAAAGGCATAATACATGACTGCAAATCACAGTTAAATTGGGAGAATTGTAATTATGAAGATCAGATTAACTGTGATGTAATATGTTCCCAAGCTCCCTGCAACTTGTGTGTGTGTTTGAGCATGTGTGTGTATGCATACATGTGTGTTGGGGGGGGTCGCCGGTGTCCCCTGGGAGCAGGAATTCTTGATCTTGATGTCCCTTCTCCCTGCAGCACTGAGCTGCCCACCCCACAGCCACTACGAGGTGTGTTCCTACGGCTGCCCGCTGTCCTGTGGAGACCTCCCAGTGCCCGGGGGCTGTGGTTCCGAATGCCATGAGGGCTGTGTGTGCGATGAGGGCTTTGCACTCAGTGGTGAGTCCTGCGTGCCCCTGGCCTCCTGTGGCTGCATCCACCAGGGCACCTACCACCCACCAGGCCAGACCTTCTACCCGGGCCCCGGCTGTGATTCCCTTTGCCACTGCCAGGAGGGCGGCCTGGTGTCCTGTGAACCCTCTACCTGTGGCCCACATGAGGCCTGCCAGCTGTCTGGTGGCAGCTTGGGCTGTGTGGCCGTGGGCTCTGCCACCTGCCAGGCGTCGGGAGACCCCCACTACACCACCTTCGATGGCCGCCGCTTCGACTTCATGGGCACCTGCGTGTACGTGCTGGCTCAGACCTGCGGCACCACCCGGCCTGGGCTGCACTCGTT